CCTGGCAACCTGATCATCATATCCATACGAGCTCAGGGGTGAGCAGTTCTGCCTGCCGACGGCGCGGCGTCCTGCGATCTAGGACGAGAAGGCAGGGGTCTTCTTCGGAGGCGGAGACGGATGGTGGGCCAACAGTGTTGGCCTCTTGGGAGTTGACGAGGCAGGGTGTTCCTCCTGCTGCGAGCTGCTCCCTACCATTGTCACTTCATTGGCATGATCTGGTGTTCACCGAGGGCTGCAATTCCCAAACTTGTTTTTGGTGTTTGTAGATCCTCTTAGCTGTTCTTTAGCATCTTGTATGGTTGCGATTTCTGTTTTTTTCAGTTGTATCATGTTGTTTCTATGTTTGAAGGTTACTTCATCTATAAAGTGGGGCGAAAACCTTTTTGATATATACCATGATCCCAGCATAAGCTATAATATTTCAGCAATGTTTGATTGATCAGTACACATACCTACACTTCTACTTATGTGTCATCGTTGCTTTGAGAGATGCTATTAGTGAACCTATGAACTTTGTTCCAATTTTTATTGTTGCCGCGCCTCCCTCGCGGCTGCCCTCCTCTCCCTCGCGCTCTGCTCACTCTCCCTCGCCGTCGCTCTGCTCACTAGAGAAGAAGGAGAAGTTCAGAAAAGTTCAGACAATGGTGGACACAGGAGTTTTTTCGGCGCACGAACGCCCCCTTTTCTTCCTCGAGCACGAACTCGATAGTGTCACCCTCTTACAACGGAACCGTGCGGCTTTATACCGCGAGCCAGCGCACCGGGCACGCACCCACGCCTCCACTCGCACGCCGATCGTGCATGCGCTCTCCGCGCTCTGACCGCGCCCACGCCGCGCCCGAACGCGCGCTTCTCGCGGTGAGCCTCGCTGGATCGCGCCCGATCAGCCCGCACGGCTCGCCAACAGACCCACACACACACGCACGCCTACGGTGTACACTTGCACGGCCACCCCGTGCACCACATGCACGCACGCACACACTACTCGCCGCGGACCCGACGCGCCCGACCCGGCCAGCTCGCGCCCATACACGCGCTGGTCATGCCCGGTGCATCGCCGCGGCTTATTAGTCCAACACTCGCGCCCTAAGTCGCGGCTCAGAGCAGCCCGACGTCTTCGACGCCGTCGTCCACCAGCAGCGCACGCCCGGCGACCGGCTCCTTCCGCATCAGGGGACACTCCCTCTTGAAGTGCCCCCTGACACCGCACTTGTAGCACTTCCCGCGGCGATTGTCCCCGCCGCCTGATGCCGTGCTCGCCACACCATCGTCATCGTCCTCTCCGCGTGCACCGCCCCGACGCCGCTCGCGTGCACGCCACTGCGCCATGGTGTACAGCAGCTGCTCACCGCCGCCTTGGTTGCCTCCGTCCTGCCCGCGTCGTCGCAGCCTCTCGAGAAGGCCTTTACCCGTCCCAGCGCGTCCTCGAACGCCATGTCGTCGATGTCACAGAACTGCTCGATCCCGGCCACCGCAGGGTATAGCCGGTTCGGCACCGAGTCGAGCAGCTTCTTGACGAGGGCGACGTCCTCCAGGGTCGAGCCCAACGCCGCGTATCGCGCCACCATTCCACCGAGCCTGCCGGCGAAGTCGTCCAGGCTCTCGGCGTCCGCCATGCGCAGGAGCTCGAACTCCCCGCGCAGGGTGCCCAGCCGCGCCGCCCGCACGCGGTCCGCGCCAACGAACCGAGCCTTCAGAGCAGCCCACACCTCTGCGGCGGTCTTCTTCGCCGCCACCTGCAGCAGCAGGTTCTCCGCGAGCGCGCCGAGCAGGTATGCCCTCGCCGGCTTGTCCTTCTTGGCGATCACGGCCGCCGCCGCATCCTCTGGCACGACCACCGCCTCCCACAGCCCGGCCGCGTCGAGGTTCGCCTCCATCTTGATCGCCCACGCCATGTACTTCTCGCCGGTGAGCTGCGGCACAGCCTGCGGCAACGATCCGCCCATTCCGCCGGCGTACGGGACGATCGACATCGCCGGCGCGCCCTGACCAGACCGTGGCTCTGATGCCAATTGTTGTTGCTGCGCCTCCCTCGCGGCTGCCCTCCTCTCCCTCGCGCACTGCTCACTCTTCCTCGCCGTCGCTCTGCTCACTAGAGAAGAAGGAGAAGTTCAGAAAAGTTCAGACAATGGTGGACACAGGAGTTTTTCCGGCGCACGAACGCCCCCTTTTTCTTCCTCGAGCACGAACTCGGTAGTGTCGCCCTGTTACAACAGCACCGTGCGGCTTTATACCCCGAGCCAGCGCACCGGGCACGCACCCACGCCTCCACTCGCACCTCGATCGTGCATGCGCTCTCCGCGCTCTGACCGCGCACGCGCCGCGCCCGAAACCGCGCTTCTCGCGGTGAGCCTCGCTGGATCGCGCCCCATCAGCCCGCATGGCTCGCCAACAAACCCACACACACACGCGCACGTCTACGATGTACACTTGCACGGCCACCCCGTGCACCACACGCACGCACGCACACACTACTCGCCGCAGACCCGACGCGTCCGACCCGGCCAGCTCGCGCCCATACACGCGTTGGTCGTGTCCGGTGCATCGCCGCAGCTTATTAGTCCAACAATTTTCATACACAAGGGCTTCTCCAACTTACATTTACATGCATTTTTATTTTTTGCAATTAATTATTCTGAAGATACCAAATAATTCCAAACACATTGTACGATCATAAATTATTGCAACTCGTAAAGCTAGTGAGACTTACAACCTAGTTAGAACCGTTGGGACCACAAGTAGTTTCTTAATTTATTTTCAACTGTTGCTTGAATGAAGGTAGGGGTGTTGCCTACGTATTTATAACTTGGTTTCTCAATTGTGGGGAAATTTACCCCTTGCTACAAACCCTTGCATCTGGACGTCCAAAATATACGTACCATGCGGGAATCCTTGGAGTACTGGTTGTCGGATATAATAGTTGTATATTGCTCTAGGCTTCATTAGTCTATTAATTGCCCAGTTTAGATGAAGTATTTACCATTAGACGCAATGATAGGTTGTCTAATTGTAATGGAAAAAAAGATGCATTGCCTATATGACGTGATCCCAACATAAGCTATGTTTTGTCAAGAATGTTTGATTGATCATCACACATATGTATGCTTATATTTTACCATTGCTACCAGAGATGCTACTAGTGAACCACCGCAGGTCGACGTTCAGCTCCATACCCCAGACCTCCCCCGTATCGCCCTTCCTGCGGGCGATCTGGGAGCGCGCCGCGGCCGCCTAGGGTTCCCTCCCCCACCGCCATCTCCCTGGCCACCGCCGCCGAGAGCCACAGGGCAAAGACCTTGTGGTGTAGCGGCGGCGGGGATCTCCTCTGCAGAGGTGAGGGTCGGGTGCGGGGGCCTCCTCTCTTCTGCATGGTCGGGCATCACGATGTCCTCTTCCCTCGGCCCCGCCACGACGAGCTCACCGGCATGCAACCCCATGGTGTGGTGGCTCTGATGTGCCCCCGGAGTGGGCACTGGCCTTCATGGCTGCCCAGATCCAATCTGGGATGGCAACGGTTGAGTTGGGGGTGGACGATAGCCCAGCGGGACAGTGGTGGTGTCACACCTGTTCTGGTTGCACACTGGCCAGGGCGTGGAGGCGCTTGGTTATGTGGCGGTTTGGCCCTAGCGATCTTCGTCTGCCATGGCGTCTACTGTCGGACATCGAGCTCTTCGATCTGGCTACTGACAAGTTTTGGTCTTCACCCTCAGAGATTTATACAAATTGGCGTACATCGTCCCTGAATATCTAGATCGGAAAGGCTCCGGTCGCGCGCTCATAATATCAGCCGACACGGCTTCATGAGGGCGCGAAGTGAAGCCTCGCTTTCTTATTGGAGTCATGGGACATGTCTATGTCAACATTCTCATGGCATTGATAGAGGTGGAGAAATTCATGGCGGCCGCGATTGGCGGTTTTGAAGCGTTGGCGGAAAAGTGTAGTGGATGCGATGAAGACTGTGTGCTAGGTGTTTGGTGAGACTTGCAACATCTGCCTCGACAAGCAGGGGTGGCAATACTGGAGGTCTATAATTTTGGTGGTGCTCCTCGAGTACCGAGTCTTGATTCCCAGGGTGAAAACCCAAGGTCCAATCTGCATTGATTGTACCTGGTAATGACCTTGTTGAAGGCATTATTTTTGGGTGAACTCGGACTTTCTCCAGGGCGAAAACTCAAGATCTTCGATCGGACAACGCTTGTGCATTGTTTCCTTTTTGGAGGCGTTGCTTTCGGAGAACTTTTTTGTATGCCGGGTGTTGTCTTCGGTGGTGGTTAGAGTGTTGTTGTTGCTAGTGGTTGATCATCGTGGTGCACTTTTTATTCTGTGCTTTTTATTTAGTTTTTTGGTTGTGTGTATCCTTGATGTCTTTGGACATTTTGTTGGTACAAATGTCCGGTGTAATTAATATCTTCGCGATATTAATATATTCCTTTTCTCAAAAAATAAATAAAATGAACCACCTATGATCCCGATCAAGTTTCCTCTTCATGCGAAAACTCTCCAAGCACCTATGAAAGCCATGCATGCAACGTGTTTGTAGTGAGAGCGGAGAGAGGACGCGCAACCCATGAGGATGGGCCTGTAGAGGACCAACGACCGCAAGGAATCAAAAATACGGCCGGTGTGTCGACTTGCTCCATGCGCTGTCATTTGCTCTTGGCTCGCCGCTCCAAATTACTTTGGAACTCATACTATACTACTCCAGTATGAGAGATTGGATCGGCTAAGTGAGATATTTTTCGTGGAGCATGCAGAAAACGAGGAAACTGCTCGCGTGAATGGCAATAATTTCTGCCAAATGGTCCGTGACCAAGAAAATAAATTATTAGGTGAGATCTGGAAGGATGAGGTTGGTCTCGTGGATTCATAGAACCTGTACTGCATAGAACCTGTACTGGAAAGCACGAGGTTCTCGTTTTCTCGCACGTGTGTTGCTCGGTTTCGTTAGCTGTGAATGGAGCCTGTATACGTTGAGCGGCAGCACCGCAGCAGTATATATGGCTACTATGCACAACGCAAATAGTCACACAAACACACACAAGACACACACACACACACACGCAGTCGAAAGGATGTTTCCAGTGACGGGCTCGCCGAAATGCGTTGCTTTCCGATCAAAGCATACCCGCAAGTACCTAGGTAGCGTGCAAGCAGGGAGCGAGGAGAGCGCCGGCGGAGGCAAGTTCTTCGAGGAGCTGAGCCACGGCGCCGACGACGTCGATGTCCTTGCAAGCCCGTACACTAGATTCTACCTGGAGCCATCCAAGGAGCACGACGGGCTCCTGCACGTCAGGTGCTGCCACAACAACAAGTACTGGGTGGCCAAACATGTCGGTGAAGGCAGCGGCCACTGGATCATTGGCATCGTCAATGAACCGGAGGACGACCTGTCCAAGCCGTCATGCACGCTTTTTGAGCCCATCCCTCTCGCGGACACGGACAATAATCTATCCATCAGGTACGTACAGTACCATCTCTCTTCTGTCTACACGTTAATTTACCAATCATTCTATGTCTACTACTCACTCTGTCTGGAACAGTATATTTTTTTGTTAAAATTGTATTGGACAAAGCCTCCACGCAGAATCAATTAATAATTACTACCTTTCGTCTCATAATATAAGATCGGTTTTGACAGTACTAACAAAAACGCTCTTATATAATGGGACAGAGCGAGTAATGTCTTGGAGGAAAAAGAAAAAGAAAAAAGATCAACACCGATAGCTGCTTAGTAGTCCTCATTCTAATAGGCTGGAAACGCATGCATGCAGGTTCTTCCGTCCTCAGCAGACAACAAGCTCTGAATCTGATATGACCAAGGAAAAGGGGACAACTGAAGAAGCCTACCTGTTTCTGGGAATCGGAGGGCATGAAAAAACAGTTGATCAAGTTAAATCTCTTCATGACTTCTCCGCCATTGATCTGTCGAAGCAATTGGTACTACCTAAATATGTTGCTTTTAAAGGCGACAATGACATGTACCTCCGGGCAAGGATCATCCAGAAACGCAATTACCTGGAATTCTCATCATCTGATATTGCAGATTCAACTGTGGTCAACACTATTTTCCCCAACTATGCTAATGGGAACGTGCGCATAAAATCTAACCACTTCAATAGGTTTTGGAGGCTCAGCCCCAACTGGATCTGGGCTGACTCGGCCGACACCAGTAGCAGAGACCGTGACACGCTCTTCAGGGTGGTCATGTTGCCCGACTACATCGGTCTCCAGAACCTAGGAAACTCCAGGTACTGCAAGAGGCTAACTGCCGATAAGAAGACAAGCTGCCTTAACGCCGCCGTCGATACCATCACCCTTGAAGCAAGGTTACGGGTGGAAGAAGCCGTACTTTCGCGAGAGGTCTATGGCGTGGAGTTCAAGCTCTCTGAAGCTAGGATCTACGGCGAGAAGCCTCTTACCTTTCCCAGCATGACTTCAACCAATGACACCAACGAAACACATGCCAAGACCCTGACCCTGAAATACGAGGAGACGCAGGCCAAGACCTGGAGCTCGACTGTTAGCCTCAAGATCGGTGTCACGGCCAAGTTAAGAGCCGGGATCCCGGTCATAGCAGAAGGGAAGGTTGAGGTATCCACTGAATTCAACTCAGAGTACGAGTGGGGGTCATCCATTCAGACAACGACATCACAAGAGGCCTCCTACCAGGCTGTGGTGCCTCCGATGACCAAGGTGACAATCAGAGCGGCTGCGACTCAGGGTTCTATTGACGTCCCGTTCTCCTACACTCAGAGGGACATTCTGACCACAGGAGAGGTTGTTACCTACAAGATGGACGATGGCCTGTTCACTGGTATGAACAACTATAATTTCCAATTTGAAGCCACACAAGAGCCCATCTGATGTGAAGATGCATGCATTAGTTAGCAGTATTAAATAAAGCCATCCCAGCCTGGGAGTGGCCCGGCTTTTCTGTGCGGTGATTCGATGGTGTATTGTAATTTTTATTTTATTTTTTACTTTGTGGGTTGTGTGCTCTTATATGTTTCCCTTTACCCACTGTATACTTTTCTATGTGATGATTGACAGAATATTGTGCCCCCTCCGTTTTGCTTTCTTTGGCGTAGTTATTCTAATTTAGAGCATCTCTAGCAGCTGTTGATACGGTTACGTATACACGTTTTGGATGAGGATATGGCCAAACAGGCCTCCATCCACTCATCTAAACAATTTTGTAAATATAGACGCCCTCGAATTTTGTCTTGAATCACCACCACGATGTAGGAGTATCCCTAGGGATGGAAAGTTGTAACCAACCCAAGAAGAGAGAAACTTGTCTTTGCAGGAGTTATGAGTGCACTAATCTGATTTCCAGAAGTACCATTAATCTCTATAAGGATATGCCAGTAAATTATAACAAAAAAATTTAATTGTGAAATTATTTCCTATCTAACAAGATACATGGCAAGCTCATATGGCTATACTTGATTAGTAGTTTCATGTAGTTATATTCTGTCTAACAAGATACATGGCCAGCTCACCAGAACATTACAACTTGTTTGGGACTAAAGGATTTTTTGTTGTTGTTGTTGTTGTTGTTGTTGTTGTTGTTGTTGCTGTTGCTCTTGTTGTTGTTGTTGTTGTTGTTGTTGTAATCACCAGAACATGTGACCGGCTTTAGCTGCTGTTGGCGGGAGATTTGTTCTGGTTGTTGATCGACTGAAATTTGGCCTTCTCTTGAGGTGCATGTGTTTGTTGGAAATATGCCCTAGAGGCAATAATAAAAGGATTATTATTATATTTTTTTGTTCATGATAGTTGTCTTTTATTCATGTTATAATTGTATTATCCGGAAATCGTAATACACGTGTGAATAATTAGACCACAACATGTCCCTAGTGAGCCTCTAGTTGACTAGCTCGTTGATCAACAGATAGTCATGGTTTCCTGACTATGGACATTGGATGTCGTTGATAACGGGATCACATCATTAGGAGAATGATGTGATGGACAAGACCCAATCCTAAGCATAGCACAAGATCGTGTAGTTCGTTTTGCTAGAGCTTTTCCCATGTCAAGAATCTTTTCCTTAAGACCACGAGATCGTGTAACTCCCGGATACCGTAGGAGTGCTTTGGGTGTACCAAACGTCACAACGTAACTGGGTGCCTATAAAGGTGCACTACAGGTATCTCCGAAAGTGTCTGTTGGGTTGACACGGATCGAGACTGGGATTTGTCACTCCGTATTACGGAGAGGTATCACTGGGCCCACTCGGTAGTGCATCATCATAATGAGCTCAAAGTGACCAAGTGTCTGGTCACGGGATCATGCATTACGGTACGAGTAAAGTGACTTGCCGGCAACGAGATTGAACGAGGTATTGGGATACCGACGATCGAATCTCGGGCAAGTAACATACCGTCTGACAAAGGGAATAGTATACGGGGTTGCTTGAATCCTCGACATCGTGGTTCATCCGATGAGATCATCGAGGAGTATGTGGGAGCCAACATGGGTATCCAGATCCCGTTGTTGGTTATTGACCGGAGAGCCGTCTCGGTCATGTCTGCATCTCTCCCGAACCCATAGGGTCTACACACTTAAGGTTCGGTGATGCTAGGGTTGTATGAATATGAGTATGCAGCAAACTGAATGTTGTTCGGAGTACCGGATGAGATCCCGGACGTCACGAGGAGTTCCGGAATGGTCCGGAGGTAAAGAATTATATATAGGAAGTGCTGTTTCGGCCATCGGGAAAGTTTCGGGGTCACCCAGTATTGTACCGGGACCACCGGAAGGGTCCCCGGGGTCCACCGGGTGGGGCCACCTATCCCGGAGGGCCCCGTGGGCTGAAGTGGGAGGGAAACCAGCCCCTAGTGGGCTGGTGCGCCCCCCGGGCCCCCCTGCGCCTAGGGTTGGAAACCCTAGGTGGGGGGCGCGCCCCACTTGCCTTGGGGGGCACTCCAACCCCCCTGGCCGCCGCCCCCCTTGGGAGATTGGATCTCCCAGGGCCGCGCCGCCCCTGGGGGCCTATATAAAGGAGGGGGAGGGAGGGCAGCCGCACCCTGTGTCTTGGCGCCTCCCTCCCCCTGCTACACCTCTTCCTCCTCCCGCAATAGCTTGGCGAAGCCCTGTCGGAGTTCTGCTGCATCCACCACCACGCCGTCGTGCTGCTGGATCTTCATCAACCTCTCCTTCCCCCTTGCTGGATCAAGACGGAGGAGACGTCACGCTGACCGTACGTGTGTTGAACGCGGAGGTGCCGTCTGTTCGGCGCTAGGATCTCGGGTGATAGGATGACAACGGGAACGACTACCTCAACCCCGTTCTTTTGAACGCTTCCGCACGCGATCTACAAGTGGTATGTAGATGCATCTCTCTCCTATCACTCGTTGCTTAGATGAACTCATAGATGGATCTTGGTGAAACCGTAGAAAATTTTTTATTTTCTGCAACATTCCCCAACAGTGGCATCATGAGCTAGGTTTATGCGTAGTTCTCTATTGCACGAGTAGAACACAAATCTGTTGTGGGCGTAGATCTTGTCAACTTGCTTGCCACTACTAGTCTTTTCTTGCTTCAGCGGTATTGTGGGATGAAGCGCCCTGGACCTACCTTACACGTATGCTTACGTGAGACAGGTTCCACCGACTGACATGCACTAGTTGCATAAGGTGGCTAGCGGGTGTCTGTCTCTCCTACTTTAGTTGGAGCGGATTCGATGAAAAGGGTCCTTATGAAGGGTAAATAGAAGTTGACAAAATCACGGTGTGGTTATTCATAGGTAAGAAAATGTTCTTGCTAGAACCCAATTGCGGCCACGTAAAAGATGCAACAACAATTAGAGGACGTCTAACTTGTTTTTGCAGCAATTGTCATGTGATGTGATATGGCCAGAAATTGTGATGAATGATGAATGATATATTGTGATGTATGAGATCATGTTCTTGTAATAGGAATCACGACTTGCATGTCGATGAGTATGACAACCGGCAGGAGCCATAGGAGTTGTCTTAATTATTGTATGACCTGTGTGTCAATGATTTAACGCCATGTAATTACTTTACTTTATTGCTAAACCGTTAGCTATAGTAGTAGAAGTAATAGTTAGCGAGCAACTTCATGGAGGCATGATGATGGAGATCATGATGATGGAGATCATGGTATCATGCCGGTGACGAAGATGATCATGGAGCCCCGAAGATGGAGATCGAAGGAGCTATATGATATTGGCCATATCATGTCACTACTTTATATAATTGCATGTGATGTTTATTATGATTTATGCATCTTGTTTACTTAGAACGGCGATAGAAAATAAGATGATCCCTTATAATAATTTCAAGAAAGTGTTCCCCCTAACTGTGCATCATTGCTAAAGTTCGTCGTTTCGAAGCACCACGTGATGATCGGGTGTGATAGATCCTTACGTTCACATACAACGGTTGTAAGACAGTTTTACACATGCATAAACACTTAGGGTTAACTTGACGAGCCTAGCATGTACAGACATGGCCTCGGAACACAAGAGACCGAAAGGTCGAACATGAGTCGTATGGAAGATACGATCAACAAGGAGATGTTCACCGATGATGACTAGTCCGTCTCACGTGATGATCGGACACGGCCTAGTCGACTCGGATCGTGTAACACTTAGATGACTAGAGGGATGTCAAATCTGAGTGGGAGTTCATTAAATAATTTGATTAGATGAACTTAATTATCATGAACTTAGTCTAAAATCTTTGCAAAATATGTCTTGTAGATCAAATGGCCAACGCTCATGTCAACATGAACTTCAACGTGTTCCTAGAAAAAACCAAGCTGAAAGATGATGGAAGCAACTATTCGGACTGGGTCCGGAACCTGAGGATTATCCTCGTAGCAGCAAAGAAAGCATATGTCCTAGAAGGACCGCTAGGTGAAGCACCCATCCCAGAGAACTAAGACGTTATGAACGCTTGGCAGTCACGTGCTGATGATTACTGCCTCATTCAGTGCGGCATGCTTTACAGCTTAGAACCGGGGCTCCAAAAGCGTTTTGAGCAACACGGAGCATATGAGATGTTCGAGGAGCTGAAAATGGTTTTTCAAGCTCATGCCCGGGTCGAGAGATATGAAGTCTCCGACAAGTTCTATAGTTGTAAGATGGAGGGAAACAGTTCTATCAGTGAGCACATACTCAAAATGTCTGGGTTGCACAACCGCCTGTCCCAGCTGGAGATCAACCTCCCGGACGAGGCGGTCATTGACAGAATCCTTCAGTTGCTCCCACCGAGCTACAAGAGCTTTGTGATGAACTACAATATGCAGGGGATGGTAAAGACCATTCCTGAAGTATTTTCAATGCTGAAGTCAGCAGAGGTTGAAATCAAGAAAGAACATCAAGTGTTGATGGTCAATAAGACCACTAAGTTCAAGAAGGGCAAGGGTAAGAAGAACTTCAAGAAGGACAGCAACGATGTTGCCGCGCCCGGTAAGCCAGTTGCCGGGAAGAAGTCAAAGAATGGACCCAAGCCTGAGATTGAGTGCTTTTATTGCAAAGGGAAGGGTCACTGGAAGCGGAACTGACCCAAATACTTAGCGGACAAGAAGGCCGGCAACACTAAAGGTATATGTGATATACATGTAATTCATGTGTACCTTACCAGTACTCGTAGTAACTCCTGGGTATTTGATACCGGTGTCGTTGCTCATATTTGTAACTCACAGCAGGAGCTACGGAATAAGCGGAGACTGACGAAGGACGAGGTGACGATGCGCGTCGGGGATGGTTCCAAGGTCGATGTGATTGCCGTCGGCACGCTACCTCTACATTTACCTACGGGATTAGTTATGAACCTCAATAATTGTTATTTAGTGCCAAGTTTGAGCATGAACATTGTATCTGGATCTCGTTT